TCTAACCTACACCACCTCCCTCATACCTACACCACCTCCCTCTGACCTACACCACCTCCCTCTGACCTACACCACCACCCTCTGACCTACACCACCACCCTCTAACCTACACCACCACCCTCTAACCTACACCACCTCCCTCATACCTACACCACCTCCCTCTGACCTACACCACCACCCTCTAACCTACACCACCTCCCTCTGACCTACACCACCTCCCTCTGACCTACACCACCACTCTCTGACCTACACCACCACCCTCTGACCTACACCACCACCCTCTGACCTACACAACCTCCCTCTGACCTACACCACCACTCTCTGACCTACACCACCTCCCTCTGACCTACACCACCACTCTCTGACCTACACCACCACCCTCTGACCTACACAACCTCCCTCTGACCTACACCACCACTCTCTGACCTACACCACCTCCCTCTGACCTACACCACCACTCTCTGACCTACACCACCACCCTCTGACCTACACCACCACTCTCTGACCTACACCACTACCCTCTGACCTACACCACCATCCTCTGACCTACACCACCACTCTCTGACCTACACCACCCCATGACCTACACCACTACCCTCTGACCTACACCACTACCCTCTGACCTACACCACCACCCTCTGACCTACACCACCCCATGACCTACACCACTACCCTCTGACCTACACCACTACCCTCTGACCTACACCACTACCCGCTGACCTACAACAATACCCTCTGACCTACACCACCATCCTCTGACCTACACCACCTCCCTCTGACCTACACCACCTCCCTCTGACCTACACCACCACCCTCTGACCTACACCACCTCCCTCTGACCTACAACACTACCCTCTGACCTACACCACCTCCCTCTGACCTACACCACCTCCCTCTGACCTACATCACCACCTTCTGACCTACACCACCACCCTCTGACCTACACCACCTCCCTCTGACCTACACCACCACCCTCTGACCTACACCACTACCCTCTGACCTACACCACCTCCTTCTGACCTACACCACCTCCCTCTGACCTACACCACCACCCTCTGACCTACACCACCTCCCTCTGACCTACATCACCACCCTCTGACCTACACCACCTCCCTCTGACCTACACCACCTCCCTCTGACCTACACCACCACCCTCTGACCTACACCACCACCCTCTGACCTACACCACCTCCCTCTGACCTACACCACCTCCCTCTGACCTACACCACCACCCTCTGACCTACACCACCTCCCTCTGACCTACACCACCACCCTCTGACCTACACCACCACCCTCTGACCTACACCAACACTCTCTGACCTACACCACCTCCCTCTGACCTACAACACTACCCTCTGACCTACACCACCACCCTCTGACCTACACCACCACCCTCTGACCTACACCAACACTCTCTGACCTACAACACCACCCTCTGACCTACACCACCTCCCTCTGACCTACACCACCACCCTCTGACCTACACCACCTCCCTCTGACCTACACCACCACCCTCTGACCTACACCACCACCCTCTGACCTACACCACCTCTCTCTGACCTACACCACCTCCCTCTGACCTACACCACCTCCCTCTGACCTACACCACCACTCTCTGACCTACACCACCTCCCTCTGACCTACACCACCTCCCTCTGACCTACACCACCTCCCTCTGACCTACACCACCTCCCTCTGACCTACACCACCACTCTCTGACCTACACCACCTCCCTCTGACCTACACCACCTCCTCTGACCTACACCACCTCCCTCTGACCTACACCACCTCCCTCTGACCTACACCACCACTCTCTGACCTACACCACCTCCTCTGACCTACACCACCTCCTCTGACCTACACCACCTCCCTCTGACCTACACCACCTCCCTCTGACCTACACCACCACTCTCTGACCTACACCACCTCCCTCTGACCTACACCACCTCCTCTGACCTACACCACCTCCCTCTGACCTACACCACCTCCTCTGACCTACACCACCTCCTCTGACCTACACCACCTCCCTCTGACCTACACCACCTCCTCTGACCTACACCACCTCCCTCTGACCTACACCACCTCCTCTGACCTACACCACCTCCCTCTGACCTACACCATCTCCCGGGGTTTGAATTCTGGCTCTTCCTTCAATGATGATCCTTACTTTTGTTATACCCATGCTTGAAGTTTCACAAAGTGGGAAATGTCTACAAACTATGTCGCTCTGGGATTCCTCCTACATTAAGCTGACAAGGCATTATACAACTAAACTTCAGTTCAAAGCCAAGTTAATTCAAACTCTCTTCAACATGGTGGGTGATTCATGTGCTGCTCAATGCTAGCAGCCATTCAGAATGGTTCTAATGGAATGGAAATTACAAGTCTCGGAGATGACTATGACCTCTTTCAAGAATTCGGAGGGAAATACACTGCTTAAGTGGAAAAAAGGTTCATGAAATATTGATGGATTCTATTTGTAATGAGTCTGTATGCATACATTCAATCACAGGCCCTAACAGCTCTTGTCTATATGTAAGGGGATGACAAATTCATGGCTGGGATAGATCAGCGATACAGTTGCCAGCCTGGGTATTTAAATGATATACTGAAGCAGTGCATCTGCCTACAAGATTAGTCCTGTATAAATCAGACATGCTTTGTCCATTTCATAATCTGCCTCATGCTGTTTTCAGAACATAATTATACACTATTGTCCCATACTTTTGTTTCATAACTGTTGTCTGAAACATCATGAGTGTATATGAAATGACCTAAAAAATGATAATTCATTTGCAAATAAAAGCCCATTTTACTTACTCATGTTTGTGCTTTAAGTGAAAAAAATCAATAAAAAAAGTTGCTATTAATTCCATTTGTGTATGGGGATTCATTATACCGCATTCGACGTAATATGCGCCCCGCTCTAATAAGCGCCCATGGCGATATTTGCTAATTATTGGCTCGTGAACAATCCCAATTAGCACCCCTTCCGATTGATCAATGTACCCAAGACTTATTTATTCGTGTATAATACGCACTCATGTGTTATATGCACCCTTAATTATGGGCAATTAAATTCTGGAAAATATATATCTGTCATTATAATATGCACAGACCTTTCTTTTGTATCATTTCAACTCTTTTCTTTTTTTCACCAAAATTTTATTCTAATAAGAGCCCCCTATTTCTAATTTTGAGAGCACCCTGGACGCTTATTACCATGAATACGGTACAGTGAAAAGCTGCGTGTATGGACAAGAATCGCCCAGATTAACAACTTTCTGATTAATGAATCAAGGTTACAGTGCACTGTCACTTGGTAAACATGTAAGCATTCCACGAAGTCATCGTCCTGAAGGCGGGTTTTCCAGATTAATGAGTCCTGACCAAAGAGGTTTTAATGTATGAATGTGTTCTGCAGTATCGAAACGAGAATTTGAATCAACAGACATTGTGGCCTCGATAAAGCAAGTAGGAGTCTCAGTGTGTGCAATGGTGGTGCGGAATCAATGTAGAATGTTGGTCTACCCTGAGAGCAGAAATCAATGCTCTCACTATCTGTCTGTGGTTTGTGTGCTCCGGACAAATTCCTACCTCACTGATGTCATGATGACGGCTCAATCATGAGACTTGCATTGTCATCCTGTAGGGCAGTGGAGTAACCTCGTGGTCAAAGCGTTTGCTGGTTACGCTGACAACCCTGGTTAAATTCACCACATCGGTTCAATGCGTGAAGCCCATCTCCAGTGTCCCCCAGCTATGCTATTGATGGTATACTGCTAAAAGCAACATAAAACCATGCTCACTTCTTCACTTAATCCTGGAAAGAAAACCATTTGATTTTGCTTTGATCACAGATCCCTCTGCACATAACTTCATTTATTTCACTTTCATTATATTTTTGCAACAAACTGAATCAGTCTATTTAACCTTATGGTTAGATCTGGACCTGTTAGTTTGATTTGTAGCTCTTGCTTACAGAAGGTTGAACACAAAAGAAAGGAATGGGAATTGTTTGTCTGAGAGAATACTCTTGGTACTGAGGTACAGAAGCTCACCTTCATTCACTGATGTCAAGCTTGAGTCGGGATGATGTGCTATATCTGCTACTTTGTCATATAACTATGCTACCCAAAACTTGGATAGGAGTTTCCACTGATATGTATTCAAGTCTGCAATACCGTTTTAGCATTTAGCTTTTCTGAAAGTCAATTGAACTTATGTCATGACCTGCTTGTCCAGGATCTGGCATCAGTGATGGCGTCAGAGTTGGCTTCGTCTGTAAACATCTTCTCCTCAGCAACCTCTGGACAAGTGAAGCTTGGACTTCACATACTTCCCACCTTTGATTACACCTGATTTTGTTCAAGGGGAAGTTACATTGAAAAGACTATCTATGGCCAGTACTCAGCCAGTTTTGATCAAAATGTAATGAAATATGGCATGATTACTAGTGGAATGTGATAGTTTAAAGTTTGACCTTTACCTTTTAAAAATGCTCCTATATTCACTCAAAATGCATCCACTTTTACCTCCTCAGAATGTTTTCAAGAGGTTTGAATCCAATTTGTAATATGGCCACCACCATTGCAGCCATATTGTAAAAGCTATTTATGTCCACTGCACGGCCATTTATTTTCTAATTGAAGTGATATTTGGTATGTGTGCTGTTAGTAGCAGCGCTCATGGTATATGTTACCTTGTATATGGTATGTGGACCTTGAGTTGACCATTGTCCAAGCTCTTAATTCTCTCAAAATGAGCTCTGTAAACATCATCACCAACCTCAGCTCTGTGCTCTGTAAACATCATCACCGACCTCAGCTCTGTGCTCTGTAAACATCATCACCAACCTCAGCTCTGTGCTCTGTAAACATCATCACCAGACCACTGGACCAGTGAAGCTGAAACTTCAAATGATTGTGTCCACCATTGATGAAACCAAGAGGTTTGACGCTTCTGCTGATGTCACAGCTAATGTGTCCTCTCTATTTCAGTTTCACCTATATCCCAAGTGCTGATGTCGCAGCCTACCAGGAGACTCTGACCAATCGCAGCCTGGAGTGCAGCCCTTCCCATAAGCCCAGTATGCCATCGCCAAGGTAATGCATTTTCATCCCATTTGTCAAGACAATCAAGGACAGCATTTCAAATCCAGTCTCTTGTATTGAAAACACTACATTTTGGCTGCAAATGTTGAAACATCTCCAAGTAAGACATTCCCAGTTGAAACCTTGCATGTCATGAACTTGACAAGCCCCAGTGGTAGAATGCCCACTCTGCCCTTGAAGTCCTCAGCCAAACACTGACACTATCCAACCTGTATGCTGCCACTGTGGAAATCTTTCTCTTAACTTTGTTAGTCCAGGTTTTTCTGAAAGCAAGTTTTTATCAATCTATGGATTTTGGCTGGAAGCAAACAAAGGGGGGAAAAGTTCACTGGGGTATGGGTCAGTTAGAAAAAATAACTTGAAGAAAGTTAGCAATCTTGAAAAAACAATATGTTAAACTGAATAAGTTTGCTTAGTTTGTTAAAAAAATCAAAACCACAATAAGGGATTTGGTTGAGCATACTTTCAATCAAAGACAGTTCTTTTTTATTTCCTTTGCATTTAGAAAAGAATCACCTGGAAGGCAAAGAAAAAACTGGCCAGACTGAGAAAGAAAATAGTTGATAATCTCAAGTAGCCATGTGATGTGGTTGAGTGTTCTTATGTGCCTCTAGTGGTCCCGGACTTCCTAGGGTTGGGACAGACCATTCATTACACTCCGGGGCCAGTGAGATAATAGTATGTGTTGAGTCTGCACCAGTCTGCTACTGACATGCAAGGCAAGAGCCTAACAATCACTACACCCAGACACTTGTATCCTGAAAACTCATTACATAGGAAATGTAGGCAGGACTTTTTTTGTGTCCAAATGGATGAACAGAGAATCTTGTTTGTTAAGTTGTGACCGGGTTTGGGTGTGTCCAGATGAGTCATTTTGGCAATATACTACTCAAAAGAAGTTAAACAACACCTGTTTCTTTAACACTACCACAGTTAATCTGTCATGCTACTCAAAACTAGTTAAAGAACACGGTTCGTTAACATTACTATAGTTAATCTGTCATACTACTCAAAAGTAGTTAAAGAACACGCGATTCTTTAACATTACTAAAGTTAATCTATCATGCTACTTAAAAGAAGTTAAGCAACACCTGTTTCTTTAACATTACTATAGTTAATCTGTCATGCTACTCAAAAGAAGCAAAAGTACATGCGATTCAGTGACATTACTATAGTAAATCTCACCTGCTACTCAAAAGAAGTTAAAGAACATGCGATTCTTTGATATTGCTATTGTTAATCTGTCATGCTATGACATCTAGTACATCTGGGAGGACCTTAGAACCTTCCGAATCACAGCTCAGTACATTCATGGCCAAGAATAGCTGAAAATTATGAACAGCTGAGTTTTAAAACCACATTTTGAGGTTTTCCTTTTACATTTCTGTGAAGAAAGACAAGCAGAAAAACCTAGAAATATTTTCCAAAACATAGTTGTTATTCATTTGAAAATATTGAAATTTTTCAAATACAATTCAGTAACATACATAACTGCATGGTTAAATTTTTTATTTAAATGTAATTTTGCCATAGTAGGAGTCCTATTTATAAAGCAGAGAATTAAGAATGTGTGTCTTAGTTGCTAAATGTCCAGTGACAGCTGCATGCGTGAATGGTCTGTTGGTAAGTCGTGAGGGCAGTAGTGCATGGTAGTGTTAAATAGGTTGTCCACTTGCAGGCGGCAGCTTCTGGAGAAACGTGTCAGCGAAGCAAGACGTATGAACAGGTTCCGTACTTCTGTACGTCTGTTCCTTTCTGTCCAATTTGCTCTTCTCCTTCTCTCTCTCCAGCATGACCTCTCTGTCATACAGACAATCTGGAACACTACATCATTTCAGTTCTCGCATCACTTGTCGCCTCCTGACTTTGTTGGTTTTGTGTCTGGATGAGACAGTTGAAAGTTTACTTTGTTCATGATGGCTATAAATACCCATACTGCTTGCTGGAATCGGTTGTCATTTCGTGTCATTTTGAAGTTTTCCTGTTCTTGAGAAGAAATTTAAATGCATCATGAAGTTAATTGTTTTCTTTTTTTTTATATTTATTTTAGCAATCTTTGCATATGTGTTCACAGTTATGAATTTTGTATGTGGATTTGTCATTTGCAATCCAAGTTTGGTGGCCATATTACTTTGTTAAATCGTTACAATAATTGGCCGGATATCTTAACCTAATATGTGTATGAAGAAAAGGTCAGTGTTGGTATGCATGCAAGTCGGTAGTTAATGATAATCACACAAGGGTAAAGGATTGCTTTGATTCCCATTCCCAAAGGTAAAATCATTCAAATTTGAAGGTTGTGTGTCCAATTGAACTAACGATGCACAAAAATTGAAATGTCTTCATCATGTTTCCAGCAGGGAACTGGTTTGTTTGATTTTGTTCCCAATGTAGTAATTTCCTTCAAGTAATAAAGTTCACGAAAGCCATGAGAAAATTTGATATCGATCTCATTACAACATTTTACTGTGGGCCAGGCAATGATGCATTAAACACAGAAGCTACGTCCAGATCAATTACTTTTGCTGCTTGAATCTGCAATGTTGCACATTATGAGTCTATTGCGCATGTACCGGTAAACTGAAATTGTGCAAGATCAGCAGTGGGACTGTTACACAATCGATGCCCAGGTGACCTTGCTGAATAATTCATAGTTCCATCATTTTGGTCATAAAATATAATTTGTGGGGCTATTTCATAGTTTGGAATAAAAAGATATTACGGTTGTTCATAATGGAATAGGAAATAATTTTACATTTGAAAGGTGACAACCCATAGTCGCATGACGTATGGATTAGAATTGGAGGCTATGTTGAAATCTTAATTAACTGTTTTTAGGTTTTGGTCATCAGTTGCTTCATGTTTAAACAATCCTTCAGTAATTGAATTAAAATTGGATGGGTTTAATAATGGCACGAGATAGTATAAACTTATTTGTCAAGATTGGGATAAAATAAAAGCAGATTTGTAATAGAATATTAAAACTAATTATGTTTGCAAAATTGTATTTATATCAACGCTGTCAAATCATTCTTTATATCAAGTAGGCCATGTGCAAGTCTGCATTCTTGACTCCGGTTGTCTTGACCAGGACTGAAGTCTTCTTTGTAACACGAAGTTGATCTTATACGATGAGTTAGAAAACAGTTTCGGAGTAAAGATTTCTTTGTTCTTCAGTGCAACATTATCATCTTCACCTAGGAGGACCCTGTCAGCGGTTAGCCCGCCATCTTCCCCGTCCCCCGCACCCTCCTCTCCAGCGGAGGTGGTCCCAGTCCAGCTGTCCACGGTCCAGCAGATGTCCCCCAGACAGAAGTCCCTGGCATCAGACGGGTCTCCCGCGGCCGGGAACCATGCCTGGGGGCCAGCCCGCACCGTGGAACTTGTCCGGGAACCTGGCAGAAGTCTGGGCATCAGTATTGTTGGTGAGTAGAATCAGTTGTGTGGAACATTGCTTGCATTGCATCTGTTATGGAATGATTGAGATTGTAGCATTGTATTTTGGTAATTTTCATTGAAGTTGGAATTTATTTGTTTTGATTTGAGAATTTGTTCTGTATTTCTCTATGTTTTCTTTCATCATAAGATACTGTTAGCTGTGGTATCCAGTTGTCATTTTTTTTAAATTATTCCAAGTCACCGTCCCTAATCATGTTCCTAAGATATGCTTTTGTATGCATTGATTCATAGTACATGTTTCCAATGAGAAGTATCATAGCTGCCTTAATATGAAAGAATGGAGGCTGAAAGATTTGTAATCTTTTGAATGAAAACGCTTTTGCACTATCTTGACTGACTCAACAACAACAACTTCATGACAACTGGATTCAACAGCATGTGCTTTATGAAACTGTTTTCCACATGACAATATACAACTAATTATTCCATACTTTATTTGACACATTAGACAAATGGTACAGAAATGAAAATTCCACCGACACATATAATGGAGGTAAAAATGGTATGTTAGATTGTGCTGATGCCTACATATCTCTGATGTGTCCCAACTTGTGTCTCCTTGGCTGTAGACTGAGCTTATATGTATGACATGTGACTCTCTCCTATCACTGACCCCATCACACAGTCACAGATCTTGTTTGTATATCTTGTTAATGCAGATCGTCGATCCAAAACTTGATAAATTGTTCTTCAAAGAAATGCCTCAGCCTTTTTTTAAAAATCTATTTATACAGTTTAAATTAAATTAATTTATTTGAGTTGTGGCCATGTTGGAAGCAAGCCAATATTTAAGCTGAATGAATTTGTCTAACAAATTGATAGTTTTTCCAGTTTTCCCATCTGAGAAATTAAATTTTGAAAAGTTTCAACTCAAATAAGATAAGATTGATATCTCATCAAAATTGATGCTGTAACTGACAAAGCATTAAGTGTCTTCCATACATTTAATATTCATGGTGCCTTTGTCTTGGTACTTGGAGGCAAATGATTGTTTTTACTCCCATCCCTGTGTTTATGCTGTGGATCTGTATTCGCAATATGCAAACTTGAACTGTATATGATTGCTAACCAATTTCTCTACACATTACATTGAAGTGTTTTGTGGCCTAATGGCGTATTGTGTAGGAGTCAATGTAGAATAGATATTAGGTCTTTAAGGTATTTAGAAGTTGGAAGAACATGAAGACATGGAACTTTAAATGGATAGTAACTTGGTTTTTGTTTGTAGCATAGTTTCTTGCCCCTGCATCAGGTGAATGGGGCGGTCGGGTAGCCTAGTGGTTAAAGCGTTCGCTCGTCACGCCAAAGACCCTGGTTCGATTCCCGACATGGGTACAATGTGTGAAGCCCATTTCTGGTGTCCCCCGCCGTGATATTGCTGGAATATTGCTAAAAGCGGCGTAAAACATACTCACTCACTCATCAGGTGAATATAACTTGAACAGGCAAGAGGTATCCACAAATGTCGCTACAAACAAAACAAAATTGTTGTCCAGAAATGTTTGATGTTTTCATAGAATCTATATCAGTTTTAAGTTGTTTCATTTCAATACATCCCTAACACCACAGCAAGGCCAGGAATATATTCTGATTACAAAAGTTAAGGATCACACGATTCTTTCATATTGCAAAAGTAAATGTGTGAAGGCAAGACAGATTTACTATAGTTCTTTGAAAAATATGTGATCCTTAACTTTCTTGGAGTAGTATACATAGGCTGTAAGCACGATTCAAACTCCAGTCAACATTTGTTTATCATGGCCATTTTCCACATGAAGTTAGTAAGGTTATTTTCATTTAGAATTATATTATCAATGTCAACCTTGTCATGTCTATGATGTGTTAGACAACATTTATTCATGATTCCTGTGCCTGCTGTTGGTTGACATGTTACACATTCTGTTCCTGCTGTATATGTCTTCTGTATGTCATTCAGCCATATAGAAGCCATGTTAGAGGGCATACAGACATTGCAGAGTTTATAGACCATCTCGTCTGATTGTCAGGATATCATTTTTTGTTTAATTATATTATTTTAGACTATTTCTGGGTAGGTGTCTTTGAAAGTTGACTTATTAGTTAACCTACTGATTCTTGTGTTTACAATTAAAAGAATAGAATCTCTCTATCATGTACCTACTCCAGCAAACATCAACCAGGTCCCAGCACTAGACCAGGCCCAACCCAAGCCTTAGCACTAGATGGGGCCACACCCAGACCCCTAGACTGGGCCTCACCCAGGTCCCAGCACTAGACGGGGCCACACCCAGGCCCCAGCACTAGACTGGGTCCCCCCCCCAGGCCCCAGCAATAGACGGGGCAACACCCAGGTCCCAGCACTAGACGAGGCCACACCTAGGTCTTAGCACTAGACGCCCCACCCATACGATCCATTCCCCAAGTCCCACCATCAGTTCCAAGGCATACTTCACACAGCTTTCTCTACGACTGCTGCAACTTAAGCAGACACATTGCAGAAATAGCTGTGTGGAACGAGGCTGAAGCTCAAGATCCAGTTCTCACTTCTATTATCAATCCTTTCTCCAAATCAACTTAATTTTGTTTCCCTAAAGTGGAGGTCATCATGGTCCAATCCATGTGTTTGCATGATAGACAGAAACCGTGATGACTTCCTTCCAGTGTGTTGTCCATGGATTCACTGCTGTGTCACAGCCCCACCCAACAATAGCTGCAGATGCAGATGCTTCATCAGCCCTCCCCATGGAAGAGGCTGGTTGTCCCCATGTAGTCTGTGCCTCCAGTCCCTCCATGTCTGATAATATTCAAGGTTTTTATGTAGATGTCAGGGATTTTCATGGTATATTTATTTGGGTGGTCCAGGGTACTCAAAACCTTTCATTGTAGGGGTCCGTTTTAAGAAATGGGGGTCCCAAATGTCAAGAATTAGATACAGTACTCTACGACAAGTAACGTACGACTGAACATGCTCAGAAGCTGTTTGTTAATAATAGATAAGGATTCCCAAACTGAAATCAAATGCTAGCGCTAGAAAATGATGAATTATTTAACAGTGTATTGTAGTTTTTAAATGATTATGTACAGATTAAATATTTTGGTGGTATCAAATTATGAAATAGTAGCATGCATGCTCTGTATAAACTTTTTATAAACTGCATCCATTTTCAATCTTTATGAGTACAAGAATTTTATTTTAATCTGTGGACCATACACTAGAAGAGGGATCAGACAATAAAGTATCACCTCATTATTAAAGAGCAGGAGTATGGTCTAGTAGCCTTGAAGGCTCTGAGAATAGTCACAAGACTGCGGACATTTACTGGCGGATGTGGTTATAATCCCAGATTTACCCAGTGTCTGCAGCACTGTACCAGGGTTTCGTCACAGTGGTGGCCATCTACAGCCGACATGTCAGGCTTTCCTCCCACACTCACCTGACACACTGCGATGTCTGTTGTTTGTTTGTTTGTTGTTTATCGCCGCACACAGCAATATTCCAGCTATATGACGTTAGTCTGTAAATAATCGAGTCTGGACCAGACAATTCAGTGAGTGACATCATGAGCATCGATCCAAGCAATTGGGATATGATGACATGCATCAACCAAGTCAGCGAGCCTGACCACCCGATCCCGTTAGTCGCCTCTTACGACAAGCATAGTCACAATTGATGGCAAGCCTGGGTTGCTGGAGACCTACTCTAACCTGGATCTTCACAGGTCCACTGTGATATAACTGAAATACTTTTGAAAGCCATGTTATGGAGCCTCTATAGATGCCATGCCCAGCTCACCATTTCCAATCCTGTTAGTGTCAGTGTTTGGATTGTATCCAGTGAGTGTGTTCATCTCGCAGTGTTTGTCACTGTCAGTGCTTTGAAGTCTTCCCAGTGCTACATGCTTGTCAGATGCGATGTTGAGGAGGAGGATTAGGTTTATATTGTCACAAGGGACCTGGGTGGCCCAGTTGTCTAAGGCAACACAATTCACTGTGCAGAGTTGCTTCTTTTGGGTGCAAGGAACCTCTGATTATGGGTTCGAATCCTGATCTCCCTGATTATGTTTCAAGGTTTGTCAGCAGCATGCCCATGCTTGTGGGTTTCACCAAAGTGGTAAATGTCTGCAACCTGAATCCTCCCACACAAAGCTGACATGCCGTGATATAACTGGAACACTGTTCAAAGCAGCGTTAAATCCAACTTACTTACTGTATTGTCACATGTGAACTTCTTGATAGTCATCATACACCAAGGTTTTGGATTGTTCCTCATGCCATCGACCACTGTTTGGGTTAGACTAAATTACTGATAAGACGTGTGTGTGAAATGTGAGTTAGATTAGGTCCCTAGGAGTCTGTGCTGGTCATACACGGTGACTAGATCGTGTGGTCTGGCTTGGGGACTTGGTTGAGTGTGTATAATCTTCCCCTGATGGTTTGGAAGCTGCTCATACTATCAATCACAGGTTTGACTTGTTAGTTACATTCAGCCATCAAGTAGCTGGAATATTGCTGGTTGCGATGTTACACAACAAGCAAGACAAACAATATACTTACAAGCAGTTGTGATAAAGCTGGAATATTGCTGGTTGCGATGACCACAACAAACAAGATACAGTTTACAAGCAGTTGTGATAAAGCTGGAATATTGCTGGCTGTGATGACCACAACAAACAAGATACAGTTTACAAGCAGTTGTGATAAAGCTGGAATATTGCTGGTTGCCATGACCACAACAAACAGGACAAACAAGATACAGTTTACAAGCAGTTGTGATAAAGCTGGAATATTGCTGGCTGCGATGACCACAACAAACAAGACAAACAATATACTTACAAGCAGTTATGACATAGCTGGAATATTCATGACTTGGATATAAGAAACTATGCACTCACTCACTCACTCAACAGAATGAGACAAAGGCCTCAACCCTACTTGAGCATCATGAACACCATGTCATATAGGCACTAATGTATTTAGGCAGTAGTTATACTATAGATGTGCTTGCCAATGGCCCAGTTAACAAATCTGTCATATATACATTAAACCAGCAATCTAGTTATCTTGATCTTCTGTGACCAGCATCCCCAATCCTCCACTGTATCTCGATGAGCTATTGATTCTGGAAGACTCCGCTGATGTAAATTGCTAATTGATAACCACACCCACAATGATAACGAGATCATTTGCCCTTGATGTGAACACAACGAGAAGAGTTTGCTATCTATTGTTTAGTCATTAAGGAAACGGGATATTCATGTCTCATACAGTTCAATAATGTGTGCAACAAGATTAGAGAAAGGCCTTTAGTGGCCAGTTTGGTTGGACGGAAAGTGCTGGCTTTGATTATACAGAAGAATCATGTTATATCACCAGAGTTTCGAGGACGTTTAATCAATAACTCCACAAGAAGGCCATGGAATGTATTGCAGAAAGATCTTGCACTTCAGGAAATCTCACAACTGAACATGGGCACAGTTTTGTACTTTAATCCCGAGGGCACCAGCCTTAATATGAGTCCAGTTCCACCTAGCTGCTGTCAGTCCCTTCAGGATTGTCCATCAACATGCACTTGTCATCAGCATCAGTTGCCACATTTTCCAATCAGGGTTCTGCCCTTAAGAATGTGTAGGCGTTTTCTGCAGTCAATATTGGTCAAATACCTAGCATAGGCTTATCATGAGGCATAGACCCTCACTGTCCTTAAGGGTGGATAGGTGGTCTTGTAGTAGCTTGGTTTGGATAAGGTAAAGGTTCAGTTTCTTGGAGGAGAAATATCTGTGAAGTACAATGTCCCCATTAATATGCTGCTGTCCAGATGTTAAGTATGTGCCCTAAGACCTCACATGGGCTATTTGTCTGACAATACCTCACATCAAACTGAAATTATCTTTTATATTGTCCAATTGTGACTTTGTTAATTCTATTGCCGTGTCAGAGCTGTGGTCTTCATTCACTCATATATATCGTATATCTTGTCAGTGCTGGGACAGCTACTTACGTGTATCTTGTCAGTGCTGGGACAACTACTTACGTGTTTTCTGTCAGTACTCAGACAACTACTTACGTGTGTTCTGTCAGTACTCAGACAACTACTTACGTGTTTTCTGTCAGTACTCAGACAACTACTTACGTGTTTTCTGTCAGTACTCAGACAACTACTTACGTGTGTTCTGTCAGTACTCAGACAACTACTTACGTGTGTTCTGTCAGTACTCAGACAACTACTTACGTGTTTTCTGTCAGTACTCAGACAACTACTTACGTGTGTTCTGTCAGTACTCAGACAACTACCTACGTGTGTTCTGTCAGTACTCAGACAACTACTTACGTGTGTTCTGTCAGTACTCAGACAACTACTTACGTGTTCTGTCAGTACTCAGACAACTACTTACGTGTATCTTGTCAGTACTCAGACAACTACTTACGTGTTCTGTCAGTACTCAGACAACTACTTACGTGTGTTCTGTCAGTACTCAGACAACAACATGCGTGTATCTTGTCAGTGTCTCCACACACAAGCCACAATGGCAACCACTCGCTGATTAATGGAATTGTATGGAATTAGTTCCGCATATTTTTGTTCCACCTTGGGACTAATGATACCACAAATTTGAGGTGAAAAGAACATATTTTATATTTTGCTTCTTTCTAACTAAGTTTATGTTTGTCAGAAATCTAATCAAGATGTGTTTGAACATTTCTTGTCTGACTTTTTGACACAATTACCTGCGATACCACTGTAGAATATAATTAACCTCCCACATAAGGAAGGCATTCTGATCAAATGCCAGGGGAATTTCTGTAGCCAGTGAACTGTTTTGGTATCAATATAAATTGGATAATAGTAGCTATCTCTTTACAACCATAGTCACAGAAAATAGGTTTCAGTGGGAAACAAGATTCTCAAGATCTGTTACGCCTGGAAAACATTGTTAAGCAATTCAAGAACTGATTAATGTTATGGGTCATGTCAAGGTCAAAATGATGTAGCCACCATCACAGTAACTTCTATGTCGGTTGTCAGTTCTTACAAGTACCAGTATTAACCGTGTTAATTTCATCTCTTTTGAATTACTTTGTCTTTATGCAGATGATCCTTCTGTCATTAATCACTGGATGTTTCTGATCGTTTTGTGTTGGTTTACTACTCATCCTCTTCTTTTATAGAACCTGACAAATTAACATGACAAATCAAATGTATTAAAGATGTATAGATGTTTAAAGCTGCAAATTTCTATTGGTATACAGTTTGTATTGTGACTGATCATGGTGGACTAACATGTGGTCTGCAATGCATGTACTTATTCCCTGACTGTATGAATGGTGTGTATTTTTCCCAGGGGGCCGTGTGGACTTGTTCCATGTCTCAGAGGAGCACACCATCACGGGGATCTTCATCAAACATGTCGTGGAGAACAGTCCTGCTGGCAGGAACGGTACTCTCAAAACAGGGGATCGCATTCTTGAGGTATGTAGTCGCTGGGGTTGGACCTGTGGAGATCGGGGGTAGAATAGGTCTTCAGCAACCCAGGCTTGCCGTAAAAGGCGACAATGGGATCGAGTGGTCAGACTCGCTGACTTGGTTGATGCATGTCATTGTATCCTATTATTGATGCTCATGATGTCAATCACTGGATTGTCTGGTCCAGACTTGATCATTTACAGACCTCCGTCAAATTACTGGAGTATTTGGTGTTAAACAAACAAACGATCAAATTCACTGGGATGGTGGGGACAATTGCAGAACCTCAACAATATCATGATTTCATCGTTCATTACATACTTTCAGTATAGTATTGCTATATTATGACCTACATTACATAATTTGTTACTTGGAATATTATTAAGTATTTTTGAAACTCATCACATGGTACAGAATTCAGTTGAGAATGTATGTCAATACTTATACTAGTGACATGAGGTCTGTGCCATCTTATTCCCTGTGACTGCATCTACCCGAAGAGGGGGGCACGGGTGGCCCAGTCGTCTAAGGTGCCACGATTCGCTGTGCAGATTTGCATCCCTAGGGAAACTTAGAAACCTATGATTGTTGGTTTGAATCCCGGTTCGCCCCGATTATATTTTTGGGTTTATCAGCACCATACCATGCTCGTGGGTTTCATCGAAGTGGTAAATGTCTGAGACCTGCATCACTTCAGGCTTTCTTCCGACATTAAACTGACACGCTGTGATATAACTGGAATACTGTTGAAAGCGGCGCTAAACCCAACTCACTCACTCACTGTACCCGGAGAGTGGAAGGTCAGTGGTCACCCGCTCAAATGTTCTTGTTGATACTGGACCTATTTTTGTCTTCAGTGAACTTAACATGTTGGACTGATTGAGTTAGCAGGAAAACAAGGTGTTTTTGAATGGTATCTAACTTGTCCCCTTTACTGTGGTCAAACTAGTTGACCCTTATTAGCAGATGATTTGTCCCTAGTGTCTTCCCTTCAAGGGTTTCACTGTGGTCAAACTAGCTGCCTCCCATTTGCAGAACTAACAGATGAATGTTTTCTATTCAGGTGAACGGTGTTGACGTACGCGATGCATCACATGACGAGGCTGTCGAGATTATCCGCAATGCAACCACTCCTGTTACGTTTGTTGTCCAAAGTCTTTCAGATTCTGCATGTGTAAGTACTCGATGCTTTTTCCTTTGGTGTTCTAGAACCTCTGCCATTACTTTATACAGTCATTAAACTTTCATTCATTTAACTGCAGAATTTCTTTTTAGAATCAATACAAATATAGCTGTCATTAGATACAAATAACTCGCTCTTACGGAATCTGAATAGATTAGTGTAAGTGAGGAAGTGTTTCTTTACGATTGGTCAGATGATATCATTTCAGACACATATCAAACTCATATCCTACTTTTCAAAACACTCAAACTCCTGTAGCCATTTTGTCAGTCTTGCCGAATCCAGTACTGGGTCACTGAGTTTATTTCCTTGTAACAGATAAATTTGCCTTGATGTATATGAACGTGTGCAATGGGGCTTAAACCGCCTGTTCCAGGTTGTGGAGAAAATCACTACAGCTACCCAGGTAATATCATACAGGGTCCTCCAAGATAACCTACAGCCTCTATACTCTTGTACAAGTCCCTACCACTCGTTTGAGTTGTACTTCATTTAGCTGCTAACATTTCTGTTGCATTTTAGCTTTTTCCATAGGAGCATGTTTAGTCTTTAATCATTGGAACATGTTTAGCCTTTCAACATTAAGGTGTTTGGCCTTTAATTATTGGAGTATGTTTTATTGAAAATTTATGCTGCTTGTGAATGTCTAAAGTTAATGATGCAAATTTTCATCTGAAAAACATCCACATCTTCTGATGTTTTTGATAAGTTAATATTCAGCACCTGCCACATTAGCCAAGTATAGCATGAGTGTATTAGGCTGTAAAGGCTATTGACAAATATTCATTTTCAAGTTTTTGAACGTTGTGCATCATTCTTGACAAGTAAGGACATAAGTGACTAGGGGAATTCATGTTCTCTGAGCACGCCTCCATGGTCTAGTGGATAGAGTGTCTGCCCGGAGAGCAGAAGGTTGGTGGTTCGATCCCCGGCCGTGTCGTACCCAAAGATGGTACTTGTTACCCTGTTCTGGTCTGGGCATGATGGGGACAAAACAAGGACAGCTTAGAGTCAGTATACTGTGTCTGAGTAGGGGATCCATGTTAAACTGTGGCAAGGTATCTCATTGGGCCAGCACTATAAAACCTGCATAGTTGACAACAAGCACACACATACACAGTGTATGCACGTTGTTATATAAGTGCAATAATTTTGAACCAACATTAAACCCCATTTCACCTCCCCTCACTCCCTACTCTATTGTTGCAGATAATGAGTTGTCCATAGATTAAATAGCGATCTGTATGATTGAAGAAGGGTTGGATGGTTGTTTGCTTTCCAGGACATAAAAAAGCAATCAAATTCATGCAGAAGTTCCACCAAATTAGACTCTGAGTCTTGCTGATAATGTTTACATAGATTCAAGCAACAGAATAATTAGCTAAGCTTTTCCTAGCTTCCAACTACTTCAGAGACTGTAGTGAAGCCAACTTAATTACTCACCTAAATTTTCATCGAGTTGAGGAAGCACATAAATGCTGGTCTTTTAAATAGTTCATGATGGAAAGCTAGCTCTCCAGGTCTTGTCCCCTTGTCTTCCGGGACAAGATGTCCCCAATACCCCTTTCATGTTGCTGTGGATTAGAGATGGAGGAATGGGAAGTATGGAGGGATGGAGAAGAGAGGGGAGGATGGAGGGGGGCGACATGGAGAAGGAGGGGTGGGAAGTATGGAGGCATGGAGAAGGAGGGGTGGGAAGTATGGAGGGATGGAGAAGAGAGGGGAGGATAGATGCAGCTACTTGTAAAGTGGATAAACCATGGTAGAGGGACCATTTGGGAAGACTGTTTCATTGGCTATGACCAATCACGTGTCATGTGATGGGAATCTTTGTTTTGTGCATATTAGGATGTTGGCTGCTGGTTAAAGCACTACGGCTGTCATTAAGCGGCTGTGTTGGGCAGGAATGTCAACTTGGCAGCACCACAGTTTATACTCAAAGATGGTTTGGTGAACAGAAAGCAGGCCTTATTCATCAAATATTAATTTTTGGGTGAAGTTCAACCATTATATACCCAAAAGGTTTGTGCTCCTTTCATTCTGGGAATTAGTATTAGGCTCCAGCCTTTCTGGCCCAAACATATATTCAATGGGTAATATCTATTATTGATGGTATAAAAATATCAATTATTACTGTTAATGTGGAAATTGATAAAACTTTGTTTCTAATGCATATATGATGTGGAACTTCAGAGACAGTTTATGATAAGTAACATAATGACATTTGTCACAGCAGGAGTTTCACACACTGACACACTCACCCTTTTTATCATTCAATGACATAGTCCCAGAGCATTACCGTGAGTGTGGACTTGTAGAGAGGTATACAGGACCATATTGCACGCATTGACTTCGCCACAGAGCATAATTTGAGTAGGGACTTGTAGAAGGGTGTACAGGACCATACTGTATACATTGACAGTCACAGAACCTTACCTTGAGTATGGAATGGTATACCAGAACATACGATATTAATGGCTTTGAAAGCATTATTTGGTTCATGAACATGTTAGATAGTGAATAACATAAGTCAGTGTCTAAACTGTTGTTGTGTCATTTAGAATTTGGCATCCAGTTTGAAAGCGAACTAGAATTATCTTAAGCTGTGGGTATCCTTAAATTCTTTAAAACGTCATTAAATCTTTCAAGAGGCATATGTCTTGTCTTTCACTTTTCATTCTCAAAATATTGCATACCATATTCGACGTAATAAGCGCCCCACTCTTATAAGCGCCCACAGCGATATTTGCTTATATAATGGCTAGTGAACAATCGCTATTAGAACCCCTTCTGATTGATCAATGTATACAAGACTTATTTATTCGTGTATAATACGCACTCGTGTGTTATATGCACCCTCAATTATGGGCAATTAAATTCTGGAAAAATATATGTCGTACATAAACATTTCAGGCTGTCAGCCTTAACCACGAAATTTATCTTTCAACTCTGTTTTTTTCACCAAAATAATATTCTAATAAGAGCCCCCTCTTTCTAATTTTGAGAGCGCCCTGGGCGCTTATTACGTCTATTACAGTATTATATGTGTAAGTGTTTATTCACATCCTAGTTATTTATATTTGTATTTCCTGCTTTCCCAAAATCTTATTTTATGAAAATGTCATTCAGTATTGTGAGATAAGCCGACGCCTATATTCACCATGGTAACATGTTCATGAATAGTTTTGTTGGTTTATGAGTGGTTTGATGCTACTAAGGGGATGGTTAATGTTAGTCTGCACAGCTTGGTGGAAGGAGGGGTGTGTGGATATAGTATTGCTAACATTGGTTTCATTACATTTCATATTTTTGCAACTTTATCGTCAATGCTTGAACCAAAGTTCTTCCTGTTTCTTGTACTAATAGGCTCCTTAACACACTGATTTGGGAATGTTACTAATCTTGTTTGTTTATTACATTGTCAAACAAATTATCATTATCAACAAATGCCTGATCTGTTTTGCCAACGAGTCTACAGTAAAGTAAAACCTCATTGACTTGAACTCTTATCTCTATACTTTAGACCCGTGAAGATCCAGGGTAGAATAGGTCTTCAGCAACCCGAGTTTGTCGTAAAAGGCGACTGTGCTTGTCGTAAGTGGCGACTAATGGGATCGGGTAGTCAGACTCGCTGATTTGGTTGATGCATGTCATCATATCCCAATTGCTTGGATCCATGCTCATGATGTCTATCACTGGATTGTCTGGTCCAGACTTGATTATTTACAGACCGCCGTCATATAGCTGTAATATTGCTGAGTGTGGGGTTAAACAACAAACAAACTCTCTACATTAAGTTATCGTCAATCAAATTGTGTCACTTCGATTGTTTCCAACTATGAACAACTCACAAATATTTGAAAGTCATTTGGACATCACAGGCAACAAATAAACAGTTACTTTTTAATGTAAATTGTGTGAGGAGCGGGTGCTACTGGTAGAGCAGGAAATGCTTACCCTTTTTGGGGACACCTGGTGCACCACTCATTTTCAATGATACATTCATAAATATCAATTTAGAAAGATAAAAGCGGTGTAAAAGTCTCTGGACTCGGAGTAAGTGAGTTGGTTTCGCACCACTTCGAACAGTATTTCAGTTGTATCGTGTCGGCTTCAAGAAGAAAAGACCAAAAAGACTTACTGATGGTGGACACAACTTCACCAATTTGTAAAACCCATGAGCACGGATAAAGTGCTGACAAACCAAGAATCAGAGGAATGGGGTTTCGAACCCATTATCATTGGATTCTGGTACACATTCATGTGATTGGAAAGCCCAAAGTGATGCAGGTCTGAGACGTTCATCTCTCACTTTGGTGAAACACACGAGCATGGATATGGTACTGAGAAACCTAGTAACATATTAAGAGTGAACAGCGATTCGGAACCAAACTCAGAGGTTTTTGCAAGCCTGTAGGATGCAGCTGTGTACTGTGAGGGGCGGTCGGATAGCCTAGTGGTTAAAGCTTTCGCTCGTCACGCCGAAGACACGGGTTCGATTCCCAATATGGGTACATTGTGTGAAGCCCATTTCTGGTGTCCCCCGGCTTGATATTGCTGGAATATTGCTAAAAGCGGCGCAAAACCATACTCACTCACTCACTCACTGTACTGTGAATTCCAGACATCTGGTCACCCAGGAAGAAGAATATGAATATGTCAGATACATCATCTATCAAACTTCAATTTTATTAAACACAAACATAATTGCCTGTCTAAATATATGTCTTGCAGTCAGTTGATTCGGCCATCAAAATTTTAGCATGATCAAATCCATGGTTTCCAAATGTCTTGTACCTCAACTGAATGGACAAATATTACAATCACTGATTTAGCTCCCTTCATTCCCCTTCTGACATTAGGCAACATAGAACCGATTCCCAGGAGCGATACAATCACACCGACTTGTCTACAAGAGTCGTTAGGACCAGTTCACTGCTGAAGTCAGCCGTACTGCCCCCCAATCCGGGGCAAATTTATCTCCCAGTTATGATCAATGCAACAGAATTAAGAGCCTGGTCATGATGTGTCAGTAAAAGCTTTGTGCCGTTGACACTTGTTACAACTCGAGTGTCTTCAGGGAAACGATGATCAGGATTATTTGCATGTTTCTTGATTTAAATGTTGCGAAGCCAAAACTTGAGTTGCAAGGGTTGAGGACTTGGACAATGTAGACATAAAAACTATGCTTCAGCAAGTTTATTTAAAAAGTTGAAAAGAAACAAATGCTATAGTGGGATAATAAAAATATATGAATAAAAATAAAATGTATGAAAATATACATATAGACATAACAATTTTAAGTTAGCTAGTTGCTAATTTATTGTAATTAATGTCCAATTTTGATGTTTTTATGGTTAAAAGGTTAAAAACTTTCACGATTTGTAAAGGAATTTCGATTTTTATCCAGGGCTTGTCAAACTTCTGACTTTCTGACTTGACTTGCAATCATGGATACACCACTTGAATGTGTTTATTTCAGCCTTAAAATGAAAAACTCACTTTGTCAAGCCATGTGTTGAGTGTGTGTATTCTGTTTGTAGCCAGGTGATCTGGAGGCAGCGGAACTTAAATCAGTACAATCATTTGAAGAAGCCACTGCACAGTCCACTGCACCTCTACAGACAAAGCCGAAGGACAGACTGGTGAGTTGAATAAAGGGCTGAATGGGAAATAGAGGGTGTGGACCATCGAATGAAGGGGGAGATGGGATGGGGAAGGATGGGCAGTGAGGGAATGGAGGGTGGCGACATGGGGATAGGATGAGAGGGAAGTATGGAGGGATGGAGAAGAAGATTGGAGGGTGGGGACATGGAGAAGAAGTGGAAAGTATGGAGGGAGTGGGAAGTATGGAGGGTGGCGACATGGAGAAGGAGTGGGAAGTATGGAGGGAGTGGGAAGTATGGAGGTGGTGACATGGAGAAGGAGGGGTGGGAAGTATGGAGGGATGGAGAAGAAGATGGGAGGATGGAGGGCGGCGACATGGAGAAGGAGGGGTGGGAAGTATGGAGGGGTGGGAAGTATGGAGGGATGGAGAAGGAGGGGTGGGAAGTATGGAGGGGTGGTAAGTATGGAGGGATGGAGAAGGAGGGGTGGGAAGTATGGAGGGGTGGGAAGTATGGAGGGATGGAGAAGAAGATGGGAGGATGGAGGTTGGCGACATGGAGAAGGAGGGGTGGGAAGTATGGAGGGATGGAGAAGGAGGGGTGGGAAGTATGGAGGGATGGAGAAGGAGGGGTGGGAAGTATGGAGGGATGGAGAAGAAGATGGGAGGATGGAGGGTGGCGACATGGAGAAGGAGGGGTGGGAAGTATGGAGGGATGGAGAAGGAGGGGTGGGAAGTATGGAGGGAAGAAGATGGGAGGATGGAGGGTGGCGACATGGAGAAGGAGTGGGAAGTATGGAGGGTGGCGACATGGAGAAGGAGGGGTGGGAAGTATGGAGGGATGGAGAAGGAGGGGTGGGAAGTATGGAGGGATGGAGAAGAAGATGGGAGGATGGAGGGTGGCGACATGGAGAAGGAGTGGGAAGTATGGAGGGTGGCGACATGGAGAGTGATGTGTTGTGAGATGCATGGAGGGCTGAATGGAAGAGGGAAGGAATTTGTGATGATGGTTTGGGATGGAAAAGAAACTGAAAGTGAAGAAGGTTAGCATGGGGAAGTGTGTGGGAGAAGGAACCATCGGTTTGGAAAGGGAGGTAAAGGGCAGATGTGGCGTTAGGAAAGGGTCAATGTGATTGGAACAGAAGGTTTGGAGGAGAAGGCAAAAGAAGAAGTCCTATGAGGAGAAGGTAGAAGAGTAGGACATAGTAGGGGCAGGCATTACCAGTGAAGGAAATGTGTCAAGACATATGCAAGACTGGCCCCGAAGGGGAAATATCAAGTCCAGGAGTGCATGAGGATTGGAGGAGAAGAAAGCTTGTCATATAGGGTCAATCTTAAAAATTTCAAAATTGTTGTACCAGACCTTATAAATATTCATTATATTCAGATAGTTAATTGATTTAAACATTGAAATTGATTTGATTCAAATGAGCAAATAGATTCAAGTGTCACACTCATAAGTAACAAGAATCAATGTGCAGAATAAGTGGTAGGTTGGTGTTAGTTTGATGCTAGGTTGACTGATGGAACTGGTGGTAATTACTGCTGGAGTTCCGCAGTGAAGGAGGGTCGGCCTACTGGAGGAACCTATATGAATCTCTTATTGACATTCTTGGAAGAATATACTTCAAGGCAAAATAGTTCCCCCTGAAGACTACCGCCAGGCTAAGTGTGGAAACGCACTGCCAGGGTCTAGCCCTGGGGACTCTTGCATGGAGATACAAACACACTCCACATCTCAAGATACCAGTAGAAAACTGCCCTGACCTTTCTGTGCTCCCAGGCGTGTTAGGGTGACCTCCCCTCTCATACATACACTGAGAGAGACAAACTTAGTAAAAAATACAAGTCTATGATAATTTGTCACGTCAGGTTTTCTTCAGTTTCAAGAAGAATGATATTCTAGAAGAGCGTTTATTCATAAGAACACTGATGGAAAATCCACAGAGTGTATGTTAATTTTCATGCAAATGTTTTGTCCTTTTTTATGGTCATATTGGAACATGGCTTGATTGTCGTGGTGAAGAACTCACTCAGAATCATCATGTCCCATTGAGGTGTACTTTTAATCTGGCAAGTTTGCTGAAAACTCAATCCTTTGATCAGGTGTTTTAATTTTTAACTAATACTTTCTTCAAATATCATTAGATGGGTCTGCATCAAAGACTTGAGCAGAGTGGAAGATCAATAGATCTGTCAGATATGCAAGTATCGAAACTTTCAAGTAATTGAGTCGGAATATTTCAGAAATGTTTACTTTGAATCTGTTGGAAGTTGGTCTTGTAATGTGAACCTCCTTTAGCCTGATATTATCAAAATTGATTTGGTGGATGCAGCGTTATTGCCACTCTTGTGTGTGTGTCATTGAAATACTAGGTGAGTGAGGGAGTCAATATTCAGCTGGATGGTGACTGAGATATTTCGTGAGCCGTTTATTAAAAGGATATTTCTCCATGTACTCCTTTTCAAAATCCTCACATATGGGTATTCTGTTATGTCTTGTGATATCTAGATGACGTGTGATACTACAAATATTGTTACATATCTATGAGAACATTGCCCCATTCCCAGAACTGATCACTGAGCTGCAAAGTAAAAGCAACATACCTACTTTGCAGATTTTAATACTTAAGGGCATACTAAGTCACAAATGTTTGACCAAATTTGAGATTTGAAAATTTGAAATAGCGACAAAAAGACGATAAGAAATGACATGTGAAATTGTCCCCCAAACGAAAAATATCCTCCAAAATGTTCATTTTTTGTGCAGTGAAAACTGAAATTCATTGTTGCTGTGGTAATTTAGCATCCTAAAGCTAAGTCATTGATGTTTAAATACTGGGGCCATTCATCAGAATGTCCGTCAGACCGTGAGGGGATGTGTGCAACTAGCCTCACTCCAGTGTCTTGTCTCCCAGAATGGTATTACTTTCCTCTCTGCTAATTTCCATTATTGTCTCATTGACAGGACCTTATTCAATAACTACAGCCTCATTCAGTTTTCACCAAGCTAGTTTCCAAACCTTTTTACACATAGCAAAACTCATTGCCGTGTCCCATTCTTTCTAAGCGTGCTACAAGCCATGCAATGCTGGCCCTTTTTGCAATTCTCTTTTCTGTAATGTGCAGTTGAAGCACATTTATCTGATAATGTAGTTGCAATTAATGATTTTGTCGCCTTTTTCAGACACACTTACGCTCAGAGTCCAGAGGAGAATCAGTCAGCGACAGCGAGTCTGAAGACGAGTTTGGCTATACAACAAGTAAGTAGTGATTATGGTAATAAATATTTTTGGAAATCATTCCATTTTCTGATGGCGTGAGTGGTTTTCCCTCATAGGACAATCCTTATGATAATCCTTATGACAACACATATGACAACACTTATAACAATGCTTTTGACATTCCTTATGACAAACCTTGTCAAACCTCCATGTCAGAATGATGAGATGTGATTGGTCCACATGATCTTGATAAAATGCTATGTATCCTGCCTTGAAGCCATATGCATTTCTCACCTGGTGAATAAATCCCTTATACCCCGCCAGATGCAAGTCAGGCTGCATGTGGATTTCTGTGAGGCAGAATAAATCCCTCATACCCAGATTGGACGCAAAAAACTGCACACTTTTTTTTAGTCACGTGACATAACACAAGCTCACCTCTGCTCAATTGATCAGCTGTTTTCTATCAATTTTGAATTTGTTTGGATTCTTTTACAATGTTATATTAAAACATGTCGGTATGATAAATTTGTTGTAGCAGGATCACAAGGGGTACATGGGCTTTTATGCGTCTCTCGTTACGTTTTGTACCACTCGCCTCCAGCTCATGGTATGAAACCTAATGTGGGAGGCATTAAACCCCATGTACCCCTCGTGATCCTGCGACCACTTATATTATGACAGTTCTGATAAAGTAATATCAAATATGAACTTTTAACAGAATTATGACTTGTGTGGATCACTGAAAATCAGTGTTGACACCAGGTGGTGGTAAAAAGGGTAATCATGCCATGCCTAACTTGTAGCACCCACCACTCACACAATTAACACTTAACAGTTTCAAAAAACATCTGAAGACACACTTGTTCAGCCAAATATATACCGCCATACCAATTGTGCGAACTTCAAGAGCGCTTTTGAGCAGTCAGTCTGGAAACTAGCGCTATATAAATACCAAGTTAATAATAATGATAATAATTAGCACAAGCAATAAGTGTTTGTTGCCTGAAGATTAATAAACTGATGATCAAATGTTGTGAAGATCAGTGATAGTTAAATACTTTTTTTTGCCTTGAGATCCCTCTGTGAGTCAGATACTGTATATCTTGAAATTAACGCGAGTGTGAATTAAATGCGAAAAATGCGAGTGGTCTTTGCTCGCATTATTAAACATGGCATTAATATCAACAATAAGACATTTTGGGCGGCAGAAATACCAACTTAGACATACACTGAAAACAAACAACTATGTATTCCACATCACTGTTTATTGAGCAGCACTTGTAACAAGTATATAAACAATGTCATTCAAACACTAATTACATCCTGTGAGTTGTCACTGCTGGGGTCAAGACAAGAGATCTACTCACTTATGTCATCACTGATGACACCTGCAAGTCCAGACAGATGACACCCACCCAACACCGTGTCCTTGTCCTTTGCCACTGCATCAAAGGCCGACACGAGCCAGCGCGCATGTATTGTTTTAGCGGAAGTACTCAGTGCTAATAAGTGGTGCTATTTGGTGTGTCATTGGATTAATATGAGGTTGTATTAAGGTGAGGATTCTCCTGTATTTTCTTAAGATATAAATCCACTGATGCTTGAGAGGAGAGGGGCTGTGGCATTCATATTGAGTCGCATTTTTAGCTAGGGGCCAGCGGTCGCATTCTTTTGGAGACGCATTAATTTCATGATTTACAGTATGCTTGAAAAGTGTAAATGTGCTGCCTTCTCTTGACATCATGTACAGGCTCCCCGCATGGAAGTATTTCTCATTTAAATATTCAACAAATATCAATGATGACAAAAGTATAGTATCCAAAATAATCTCTAAAGTATCATCATCTGTTTCTCAATGAAATAGTTCCTGATTTCATGTAACAATTGACTTCAATATTTTATGCGTTTATGCAGGAATCAGTTTTAAAAATGTGTGCACGCTGTGTAAATCTGTGTAGTTTTAAGGAAATCAGGCAATACAAAACGCCAATGAAACCATTCTAACACTCCACCTGGGGGCTCCACGTGTGAGGAAGTGCGCAGCAGCCATAGCTGCCATGTCAAACAATGGGTGGATTTGCATTTTTGTATGTCCTTGTATCCTGACAGTGGGTATTGTCATGCTTACTTTGAAATTCCCATACCAGATTGTTATGACCTGTCATTCTATTGCTGGGATGTTGATGAGGGCAGGGGTAACTTTATTAATCTATACATATTATTTTATAGGAATAAACATGCATTTATCACTGCTACGTATACCATTGGATTTTCCAGTAGTTGTCATAAACAGAATGCACTTTTGCGGTCCTTCTAGTAATTTGTAGTTTACACACGCATGCACACACCAAGGACCCTAAAGTCGCTTCCCAGCACTGTATTGAATGGGGGGGCACGGGTGGCCCAGTCGTCCAAGGCTCCGCGATTCGCTGTGCAGAGTTGCATCCCTTGGGTACGCCAGAAACCTATGATTGTGGGTTCGAATCCCGGTTCACCCCGATTATGTTTCTAGGTTTGTCAGCACCATACCCGTGTTCATGGGTTTCACCAAGTGGTAAACGTCCGAGACCTGCATCACTTCGGGCTTTCCTCCCACATTAAGCTGACACTGTGTGATATAAATGGAATACTGTAAAAAGAGGCGTGAAACCCAACTCACTCACTCACTATTGAATGTCCTAGGAGTTGCCAAGTTGGATCAGGTGGTCAGCCTCATGGATTGTACCTAGTGAATGTTATTGTATTTTGTCACTTAGAGTACGAACCACTGCTTTGTCTGGCCCAGACTCAATTCAAATATTTTCAGGCCACCATGATATTGCTGGAAAATTGTTGACAGTTTGTGGCATGAATAGAGAAAGCTAAACGAGTTTAGTATTTTATTTATTACTTCCCATTTATAACTTTTTCTAAATACTTCACTGTCATGTATGAATAGGCAGACATCTTTGCGATCCACATCATGAACCAATTGAGTTAAACAGAATAATACTTCAAATATGTCAAAAGTTGTCACATAGTAATGTAATACCATACAACAGCCTACCTTTATGATGCAGGGTTCCCTTCCACAAAGCTATCTTTGCGCTAAGGTTGTCGTATCTCCCATACTTAAACTTACATAGACTTATGACTGTCATTGCGCTATGGGGGAACGGGGCTCTGCACCACAAAGTTTACAATGATGTCACAATTCCCTATGATGTAATTTGTGGAATTTTGTTGCAAGATCCACCAGCGAAACATGCCCTGTGACGTCAGCCTAGCAACAGGGTTGCTGACGTCATCGAGTGTGCATAAGCTCCTCTCAGTGATCTATCATCTCTACACCCAATGTCATTGAATAAGCCCAGAGATATTGGGAGTTTTCAATATTTGTTAGTGAAACTAGTTCCTGCAGTTCATAAGCACCGACTTTGGTATATACACAATGTGTAATACAGCTGTATGTTTATTAAACGGGTGATCTCTGCCCGGTGAATAATAAAATAAAACATTTCTATGGTAACATTAATAATGTGTATCGGTGTTATTTGTCATTTTTTTTGTTCCTGAAGTAGAAGATTCTTTTCTGGCTTGGCTATAGTGTCATCTTAGAGACTCAAAAGCTAAAAACATTCACTGATGTTTTGAAACAAAACAAGCAAAACGGTTGCAAATTTAGCTTTTTTATATTATATTCTGATAAAAACAATTTCTGGGTCAGCTTATTTCCTGTTGATAACATTTTGAGGTTTTTATTTTCTGTTTACTCTTCTGCACAGAAGGTGCGCATGCATTTGAGCACAGCAGTTTGATTGATTATTTTGTTAATGTCAGTCTGACTATAAGAAAGTCTTTTACAATGATTAAATTACAAAGAAATTGAAGCAGTTTAAAAGCTTTTCATTATTCAACAATCTGTTTTTTCAGTTTTGTAAAGGTTAAGGAATTGTCACTCAAGAACTAAAAGAGATAACAAGATCCTATATAATTATTCATGAAAGATGTTTTCCTTTATAGATGAGAAATAGTTGTAGGATGTTTGCCTATTGAAGAAAATGGTTGTAAAAATATACATTAAACAAAGCATTCATCTAAGTCTGAATTAAAGCATGACTGAAAAAGGCATACATATGGAAATTTTCGTTTTAGGCACCATTTCTGCATGGATCATTGTAAATGCCGTGTGAATTATGCATGTGGATGTGCAATAATATATTTCTATGAGTGCTATAGTATCATTTGGTTTTCATTTTGGCTGGTTGTCATAGCGACTACATTTAAAATTCAGTTTCTGATGCTACATTGCCAAATATTCCTAAGTTATTATATATGACATGATATATTCCTATTTCTGTGGAATTATGTTAAATTTGTCCATATTTTTTTAAAACTCCTACAGATGTCACGTGAGCTAAAGAGCCCGATAGCTCCATTTTCTAATTTCTTTGGCAATTTCTGGTTTTGTTCAAATGGCTTCACAACAGACAACTGCGGTTGTTTTCAACTTTGTCCAGATGTCGGGTGAGCTACAGGACCTAATGGTTCCATTTCTTCAGCAGTTTCATGGTTTGTCCAAATGGCTTCCTGACAAACAACATGTAGTTGTGTTTGACATTGTCCAGGTGCTGCTGTCCTCTGTGACATGGTACAGGAAGAAAGTGGAACACTGATTGTGTGTGTATACCTCTAACCTTTACCGGGAAGCTAACTGGTGGAATGATGTATAGACCGCTGCATAAATCTCCAAACAGGAGGTATATCTACAGGAGCTTTAATGGAGTGGACTTAAGTCATTTGTAAAGTGACAAGCTGACTGGTTGATGGAAAATCAATAATGATAGCATTGCCCTCGTTATAACCCCATCAGAGATTATATGTTTGATGTAAGTACATTTGGTACTGGGCCAGGGGGAGATGACGAGACAAGAACACTTTCATAGTCAAGAGGGAGGAGACCAAATTTTCAAGGGGATCATTACCAACTTCTGTAGCAGGTGAAGAGAATATATTGTTTGGGGAGGGGGGGACTTCCTCATTGTAAGACCAGAGCT